AATATATTATATAATAAATTGAATATATTTATTCATAATAAATTCATAATATATTTCATATTATCATTCATAATATTTAGATACATATAAAAAATATAAATGTGAGTAGATGAATTAAAAATATCACATTTAAATATATTTCTGAAATAATTTATATTTCTATCATATTAGAAGAATAATCGTAAGTTAATTGTATTGTTAATATATAAAAAATTATATCTAAAATAATATGCAAAAATTAATGAATTAAAAAAATGTTACTGCCAATCTGCTAGCAAATTTATATTATATTTATGTTTTCTCAGTCTTTTTCTATCTTTATCTCTCTATCTATATAATATAACTTTGTACAGAGTGCGTCACCAAAATACGGACAAATTTCAATTTAAATTTCTCGCTATATTGTGCCTCCGCCAGAAGTTGTTGTTTGCGTCCGAGAAAACTTGATGCTTGTAATAAACAGTCATATTGTCAAAATGGCCGCGATGTTGAAACCAAATGCGGAGTATAATCGAAAGTCACGATCGAAGATCTTCGCGCTGGACGCTCAGCAACGAAAATAATTCGGTTCTTTGAATACTCGAGATCAACCATTTATGACATTGTAGCAAAATATATGGCTTTAGAAAAGTCCAACGAAGGTTCTAGTATGCCAGCGAGGAAGAGTCACTCGAAAGAACGCACCCCGATTTGCAAGGACCCTCCGCAAATCGTTGAAAAGGCTCAAGCGCTGATTTTGAATGACTAGAACAATTGTTGTGAAAATTAGGATTGATTGTTAGTGTAAGCGAGCCAACAATGCGTCGAATTGCCGAGGAGAACCTTCGATACAAATCGTGCATATTAAAGATACGATAGATGTTCTCTGAGGCTGCCACAAGTTGCTCGCCTCGGCTCCCTCCCAGATTTAAATCTCTTGGACTACTCCATATGGAGCGTAGTTGAAAGAGTCACAAACAGGTGTCTCAATGTGAGATTAAGGACTGCTATTGAGGCAGCATTCGTCGGCATGGACAGTATTACATTACAGCGTGCATGCGAACGCTTCAAACCGAGAATAGAGATCATTATTCAAACTAATGGGGGA